CATTTAGGCATCACTCACACTCGCACACTGTATGCTCCAGTTAAGAAAGTCTTATTTGTGGTTCTCCACGCAAAACTCTCCTTCTCTCCCAGATTTCATGTCTTTATACAGTCTCCGAATACCTGAAACGTTCTCCTTTTCAAGTCTGCCTCTTGGAACCAATGGCTCCCTTCAAGTCTTAGCTCAAGGATACTTCCTCCTTCAAGAGCCCTGATTCCCCTGATTGGTCCTGCCATCCCACTCCACACACACCCCAAAATCCACTAGATACTTTGTATCTATTCTCTAATTACTTAACTGTGAACATGTCATATCCTCTCTCTCCCAACAAAATGTAGACTCCTTGGAGACAAAACCACTTTTGCACATGTACCCCCTGAACTAAGCATCATGCTTGGCACATGGCTGGCACTTTGTCAGCAGACTCAAAGCTCTAGCAGCTCCTTCTAAGCTGTAGGAAGGTCACAACTTCTCTGAGCATCAGTTTCCTCTGCTGTAAAATGAAGATAGTAATATTTGCAATCCCTACTCTCACAAGCTTGGTTGTGAGCAAAGTCCTCTGCAAAACTTAAAAAGTAAAACTTAACCGTGAATTTCTACTGTTCTATATTTTCACATCACAGTGTAAGGATATATTATTTGATACTTTTTCTCCTACTGACAAGTTCATTTAGTTGAGGTTACTTTCAAAGACTCAAATGGATCTGGGTTTTCACTGATTCAGAAGTTCCCTCCAATGAGGCAGACCACAAGCCATCCATGTCTGCCCATCCTGTGATGGTCATCTGTTTTCCAAAAGTTTGCCACAGAGGCTATACCTTGCTTTCTCCCTGCATCAAGAGACTAGCAATGGAGCACTTGGCCTATGCACTAGTCATTCCTTGCTCTCACCACATGACCAGCCCATCTTCTTCTCCTGTCACACAAGAGGTTACCTAGGACTATCTCTTTCCCTCAAACATTCCATACTCCTCTACTTCCCAACTTTTGTTTTTTTCCCTTGGCCTAGAAAGTCCTCCCTACCTGTTCCCTGACTGACATCTCCTACTCATTCTTTAAAATCCAAACTAAATTCTACCTCCCCCATGCATATCAAATTCCCCCATTCTCCCTTCAAAATGCATATAACACTTTATTTAACAATCCAAGGAATATTCAGCACGAATTATTTTGTATCCCAGTTATTTGCACGGCCCTTTTTTTCCCTACTGAACTTTTAAATTTTACGAGGGCAAGGTTTCAATCTTATCTAAACTGAATTTTCCTCAACATCTAGCATTGGATTCCAGATATAGTGGGCCTCTTGTATATATCTATTTCCATACAGGCTGGCTCTCCTGTTACAGTTTAAGCATCCTGAGGGCAGAGATACTTTTTGGCTTTTTCTTTTTATCCCACAGAGTAAGTTTTTAATAAATACTTATTGCTTTATGGATTACAACAGAAACTATCACATCTGTAGATCTGGCTGTAATCACTGAAGCAGCCCTTCTGTGAAGCATAGAGTGACTGAGCATATCCTATACAAATCATAAAATCTCTAATGCAGGGATCAAATTTTGTGTCATCTTTGTTTTTAAGATTCATGTCAACTAGAAGTAATTTACTGCTCTGAAGTTCAAATACCTCCTTTGTTGTTAAAGTTTAAAATCTCTATTACTTTCTTGTGATGGGCTTCATGGTCAGCAGTATTGACTGGTCTGAATAACATCTCCCAAGTGCCTCCACCCTCTTCCAACTTAATCAGCATTGTCAACCTGGCTTTTATGAATCAACTTATATTCATTTTTCTGACAGAAGCATCAGTAATAATGTGAGATTTTTTTCCATTTACAAGTACTTGGCCTCTTTAAATTTAATCTTTTGCATCAATCTGCATGCTATATATACACACATACATACACATACATATGTGTGTGAACTTTTTTGGGCATTTAAATTTCTAAAAATTGTGCATCTCCCCATACTGCTTCATTGTTAATGCCTTATACTAAAATATCATTAAACTACAAACACACACCTCTCTCAGGATGGGCTTCAAAGGGAAAAGATTCTGATCTACTCACTGCTCTCAGATAATCAATCATTTATATTGTGTACTGGGAGAAATCTGTTGCTCAACACTGATAATCAATGGCAACAGAAAGAGTCAAGCAATTCACTTAAGACCCAAACTCAATTTCTTCTTGCGAATACATACATCAAGTTCTAACTACTCTCTGACTGCTAACAAGGATTAGAGGGCTTTGGGGGTGGAAGGCGAGATGAGGAAAGGAACAACATAATGGTTTCAGTATCATCTTAATTAATGAGATAAGGAAATAGGATGCCTTCCCCACAAATACAGATTTAATCTGGATAAACATGAAAAAAATTGAAATGATACATAGAATAATTTCAGATTTTCCTTGGAAAGAACAAAAAAGGCACATCATCTTACTTCAAGCTTTACTGGACAAACCTGAGTTTCCTATTTTTATTATGTAAATTACAAGATTTGGCCATGTTAGTAACAACCAAAAGGAAACTCCACCATTGCCCTATAAAACTATCAAGGGCGGAAATACCTAATAAGTTATAAGAGGGGGGTTCAAGCAATAAATATCATTTTAAATTTGTCTCTTTAATAGCATCTTTGATCAAGATTACTCAAAGAGTTTCAAAAGTGATGCTCACTAGTTCTCTGTATGGAAAGGTTATCGTTGCTTCAACTTATTCTTGTTTATAAAAAAAATATATCATTATAAAGTCCCATTGGGCCAAGGGCCATATACAGGAAATTTTATATTAATGAAAAGTCAGAAATAGTTATAGGGTACATAAGATTACACCATACCACCTCAAAAGTAACTGGGAATGGGGGTGGGGAGCAGGGAACAGTCTCCCAGCTTCAAGTCATAGGTCAAGGCCTTATGCTACCCTAAATCCAAGTACTTAGCATAGTCTAGAGTTCAACATACTACTTTCTTCGAGTTCAAAACTTCATCTACAGTGGCTCAAAAATCATTTTTCAAATATCTAAATACTTAGTGTATTAAATATTAAACACTTAGTGCAGACTGATAGTCATTAAAGGGGGAAAAAATCATTGGTTATTTAACTACCATCAGCATAACCATTCAATGTTGGCCAACTCATATTAAATCTGACAAGTCTCTGGAGGAAGTAGAAAAATACAAACACGCATACACACCCACATAAATAAGTTTTAAAGAGTCATTCAATTTATCCCCTAGCTATGTTTTAGTTTAAATAAATCCTTGTTGAGTACCACAAGCCAAGGCTTTAAGACTTCAAATTTAAGATTCATGTTAAATTGTTTGTAAGTGAATTTAGTGTGTAAGAAAAGAACTGGAAATATTTGCTTCCACATCAGTAGATTTATATCCTACTTTCACGACCCACTTTTTAAACATTATGAAATAGACAATTTTCTTATCCACCTTTTGCCCTAAATGTGTTTCTCTGGTGAGTTCATGAAGGTCAAGTAAATACTTATTAGTATTCTCTTTTTATTTTAAACAAAATTAAATGAACTTCCTTTTAGAAAAAACCATGACCTCAAGTTTCCCAAGTACCCATGGGCACTGTTCAATAAACCAGTGTGGGCATAAAGTGCTTAAGGAAAAAAAATCAATTCTGACCTTGTAAGTACAGTACTATAATTAGGAATAATAATAGCATCAAAAGTAAAGTACACTATTAAAACGGCTTATTTTTAAATACAAATCCATTTCTTTCTCTCAAGACCTGGACAACAGGGATCTCAACAACTGCAAAGGCAAACCAGTAATGCTGCCAACATCCAAGTGAAGCTGAAACAAACTTCAGGATCACATTACACAATATCTAGGGATGTTTTCTTACATTTTCTTCCTTATCAAAGGCCTTATACTTCACTATATGATAAAATAGAAGTTCCAACCCAAAGTAAAAAAATCTCCACAGAAATATGTTTAAATGACCATAAAGGGGAAAAAAAAAACCCTGAAACAAATGCTGGGTGAAAATAAAACTGAATATTACAAGAATACAGTTGTATTCCAAAGTTCTCAATGGCAAGAGAGTGCCCGAAATCTGTAAACCACAGTATTTCTCTGTAGATAATACAATTTTCCTGCAAGTGAAGGTCAAACTACTGTAATTAAAGGTAATTAACCGGGCCTTCACAGTAGTGTAACCTAACAAGCTGGGAGCTGTCGAGCACAGGCGTAAAGCAAACCGAAGGGATTATTTGCACGCCGTAAATAACTACTTTATTCCTGCAGCTCAATAAACTCAGACCCTTTTGAAGACAAGTCGGATTTTCTTTTTTAAATAACAGGCTTGTTTTGATGGTTTGTCCCTCTCCACAAATCCCAGAGGCAGAGGGAGTTCCTAGCCCTATATCAGTTTCTGCTTCTGATTTCCTTTAAGACTCCCACGCCAAGAAGTGAAATTAAGGGGGCAGGGACCCAAGCCAAGCACATTTCACTCTAGAAAATTACTAAGGAAAAGTTTTTTGGTTTACTGTTTTTTAAATCCCCACCACCTTAGAGCAAGAAACTCGGCGCGGCCCGAGATCTCCAAGCACTTACTGAACGCACCAGCATCAAGACGGGCACCGACGTCTCCGCGGCCGATGGGGCTCCGGTCTCTCGGGCTGGCGGGCGTCCCTTAGCTCCCTTTCTCTCTTCCCCCCCTTCCTCCTCCTCCTCCTCCTCGTTGGCTTCTCTCCTCTCCCTGCTGCGGGCGGGCTGGCGCGTGCGGCGCTGTCAGATCCCGGACTGGGGCCGTGGCCGCGCGCACCTGAACGCTCGGCAACACCTGGGCGAGGTGGCTGGCAGAAGAGCGAGCACACGAGCGACCGAGCGAGCTGTCGGGCGGGCAGGCGGCGGCGGCGCAGGCGGCGCTACCCCGGAAGAGCCGCGCCCCCTGCCCAGCTCCCATGCCCAGGTGTCTCCTCCTCCTGATCCTCCTCCTCTTCCCTCCGCCTCCTCCTCCTCTTCCCTCCTCCTCCTGCCACCTTCCGCCGCCTCTGCCTAGGCTTCACCCCGCCGAGCGCCGCGGGGGAGGGAAGCTCCGGAGCCGGGAAAGCCGCGCGCGTCGGCGGAGGCGCTGTCGGAGCTCCGGCTCACCCGCGGGGGCGGCCGGGCCGGCAGTCCCTGCTCTGCTGCATATTTGAGCAGCTGACTCAGTGCCCGCTCCGCTTTCCAGGGCCCCGCAGCGCAGCGCTGCCCCTTTCACTCCTCACCTCGGCCGCCCCCCGCACTGCCCGGCCTCCCACGCCGCACCTGGCCCGGACCCGCCCCTGAGCCGCGCAGGGACCGATCCCCGGCACGACTCCGAGGGGACCAGGTGGGACCAACCCCCCACCCACTGACTCAGCCTATCGCTCTCTTGGGAGGGTGGGGGGAGCCGGTTGACCACCGGGCTAAAAAGCCACCTTAACTCGCCAGCCGTCGTAGCATGATGAGATGATTGTCCTTATTGGAGACTGGAAAGGACAGTGTTGTCCAACTCATTCTTTTGTTTTTTGTATATTTTGTATATTTTAAAATCTCCCCTCACCCATCTCTGGAATTGAGGAAGGAAGGAAGAAGGAGGGAAGGAAAAGAAGGGAGGGATAGAAGGAAAAAGTGAAGGAAGAGAGGGAGGGGGAAAGGAAAGAAGAAAGGAGTGAGGAAGGGAAAAGGGAAGAAAGGAAAGGAGGGAACAGTGATCATTTATAGTCCCGCAAAACAAATTCGCCCGTTGGCCATCCACGAAAATGTGTGCCCGACTCTACATTTTAAGTTCCTTACCTCTCTGTCAAAGGGGTGTGGCATGTTTCACCTTTAGTGTTCTGGATTTATGGCTCCCTGCATTGATCAAAAGTACTAAAAGTCTTTCAAAGCTGTTTTTTTCTCAATGACAGTATATAAATTGCTCTAGTTCTACTTCACTTTGCATCAGTTCATAAAAGTCTTTCCAGTTTTTCCTAAAACAGTTCATTTCAGTTATTTTCTACAGTACAATATTCCATTACATCCTCCAATAGAATATCCCCTTAAGTTCCGATTTTTTGTTACTATGAAAAGAACTGCTATGTTTACGTACCTTTCTTTTTGTTTGATCTCTTTGGCATATTGGCCTAATAGTGGTGTTGCTGGGTAAAAGGGTGTGCATGATTTAACAATTTGGGGGACGTCGTTCCTAATTGTTTTCCAGAATGGCTGAACCAATTCATATTACATACTAACACTGCATTATTTGACTTTTCCCACAAGCTCTCTAATATGTTTCATTTTCCGCATTTGCCATCTTTGCCAAGTCTGATGGGTATGAAGTGGATCCCCAAAGTTGCACTAAGTTGCATTTCAGTAATTATTAGTGATCTAGGTAGAGCAGACATATCAAATACAGGCCTGAGCACACAGCCCACTACATTCTCAAGTACAGCCAGAAACAGATTAAAATACATTTTGGGTGAAATGTTTAACAAAATAAATAAAATACAGTAAAACATAGATAATGTTAATAAGTATTTTTCTAAGTCAAGATCCTTATGTATAATTTAGTGCCCCTCCCTCCATTTCTATTTGAATTTTACACCATTGACTAGAAACATGTCTTTTCAACTGATTGCTGATAGCTTGGATTCCTTCCTTCCTGCTGATTTACTTTAACCTCATTTATTTTGCAGATGTGGAAACTGAGCCCCAGAGAAACAGAAATGGCTTTCCTAAAAGCACACCAAGTGCTAAATGGCTGAATCAGGATTCAAACCCACTTCTGAGTCAAGATGCCGTGGGCTTTCCATTACATCGTGCATTTCTAAATTCCTGAAACTTCCCCTTTCTTGGTTTTTCTCACAAGTTGGTTTAGTGCAAAGGTCAACTGTAAAATGAAAGGAATTTGAATAACGTTTAAGGTTTCATGCAGCTCTAAATCTCTGCTATATTTGCACTGAGATTGGATTTCCTTAAAAGATTTAATAGTCTTGGTAGACACAGCAAAGGACTAAAGCAAGCTCATGATCTTTCACAATTCTCTGGATTCCGTAGAGCTGACCATGTGTAGGTGGTAAAAGGAAGTACCTATTTGGTGTGAAAGTGCTCCTCCTACCCAAAATTTACCGCTGAGGAGCCAGAATGCCCACAATTTCCACCTTAGTCACCCGAAGGCTTTAACACAAGTGAAGACTTCACAATTCTTCAGAAACTAAATCATCAAAGGTCATTAATGACCGAATCACCTGGCCTTTTCTACATTTTCCAAGATCTTTCTCCTGCATTTGATGGTAACCATCCTTATCCTTCTTAAAACCAATGTCCTTTGCTTCAGTTTCCCTTCTCCTTCTCTGACCTTTGTTTCAGTGACTCTGAATTTGAATAACCCTGTGGTTGCCCATATGCTATCACCTTCCAGAAACTCATGCATTCCCATGGCTTCAACTGTTGCTAAGTCTAAATGTCCACCTTCTCTGCTGACCTTCAGCCATCTCCATCAGTCTGAATATTTTCACTTGAAGATGAGACAGTTTCTGAAACAAAACATTTCAAGGCACTAAACTCATCTGCACTACTTCCCCCTCCATATATATGTATAGATAGGTTGAGTTGAATGTATATGTATTGATATGTTGGATTGGGCCTGGAAGGATGGATAATATTTCTATTAGTAGAATGGAAGGGTTAGGATGTTGCAGTTAGGAGGAATAAAATGATCAATCATTTGGATGCAGAAATGAGTATGTATTCCAGGAAAATGAATATAGGGTGAAAAGAATGACACAGGTTAAGAAGTGAGAGTGGTATATAGGAGTACATGCATATGTATGTACACACACACACATATATACACTTACATACATGTGTCTATCAGACTTCAGTCTGATTGGTATTCAAGATCCTCCACAATTTGTCACAATGTTCATATCCATCTATATCTCCCACTACACTTCCATTTACCACTCTCAAACCTTAGCCTATGTCATCATCTCTCATCCTATATTAATTCTCCTGCAATACATACTCATTTCTGCCTCTGAATGGTTGTTCATTTTATTCCTCCTACCTGCAACATCAGACCCTTCCTGTCTAGTAAAAATACCATCCACTCTTCAAGGGCTCTCAATAGAGCCTTCCCTGACTATGCTAGTTCAAATGAATTTTCCCTTCTCTGACTTCCTGTAGCCCTTAAAGGCTAATTATCACACAAGAAAGCACTTGATATCATAGTGATTGAAACTGTTAAAAATATATATATTTTGGACATTCAGTGGGAATAACATAGGTATTTGTTATACTCCCAGGAGATCCCAACACGTATGTGATCCAGCCTGTTTTATGAGACTTAAAAGAAATTAAGGTTTATAAAGAACTCAGAGAACACTATTGTGTAGAGTAGATATATCCATTGCATCTTCTATAAGACTCATAATGACTTTAACTTTGACATATAATAAAACTAAGAGTAAAATTAAACTCCATTATATTGTTTGTGCCCCCTACTAGAATATAAACTCTATTAAGGCTGTTTCCAGCTCTGAGATTCTGTAATTCTAGGTATCCCCCCACATTGCCTTGCACAGTAACCTGTATATAGAAGATAATAAATATCTGTCGAGTGAATTACGGTTGGGTTTCTATGATGCTTCATGGAACATGTTCCTTCATTTTAAGTTGATTGCTTTGGGAGGTATATTATCTCTTTCAGGTCACTCGTGTACCATTTACTGTATGGTTATAGGACAGAAATAGCATCATTTAAAAATACCCAGTCAACTCAATTATCCACTCTAATGAACAGGAACAGAAGATGGAATGCATTCATTGACTGTCAAGTTTTTGCTTCTTATCCCTTCATGTTTGCTTTTGGACTTTAGTTTATAAAACATCATAAAATTCATTTTTCCAGGCTGCATCTTGAGGGGAAAATATAGCTCCAAACATCCTTTTTATACTTCCTCAGAAAGCCACACACAAAGGATAATTCAAGACAAGTGAGAGACACAGAAGTTAAAAAGAAGAAAGAAAAAGGAAGAGCAGGAGGAGAGCAAAGGAAGCAAAAAATAGGATTAGGAAATGGCTAAATTTCTAATTAAAGCACAAAAGCAAGAACTAGAATAAATTGCTTGGAAAGCAATAAAATAAAATGGGTAAAACATTAAATTGGTCTCTGGAATGTGCACAAATATTTTACTTCATATGCAATTGTACTTTGTTTAATTATACACATTTGAGAAGAAATAGCCTTGTGTAAAAGCTTATAGGCAAGTAAAGTGAACAGTTGTTTCTCATTCTATGCTTATGGGCTCTGAGTTCACACTGTAACTTGAATAAACAAAATGTATTTGGGGTTAAGTTTTTGAATAAGTTAGCATCTTTTGTCCAAGTTCAACAAACATATTCTGCTTAAGAGAAGGAAGTAACTCAAATGAGTTTCTTGGAGGAGAAAAGGTGGTAAAGAATACTTGGGGGTTTTCTGAAAGGGTTTTCTCATCATTTTGAAGACTTTAACCAAGTTACTTCCTGTTTGCATAATGGCACCAAAAACTGATGCCTACCTGAAAGCATCTTTGTCATAGGTTTCAAGTACTGTTTGTACCTTTGGTTTGTGACTTCAAGGTCTGTTGATTTCTTTTTTTTTTTTCTTAAATGAACCTCTTTTCTTAGCAGTAAGCCTAGAAGAAGTATTGCAAGTTTCTTTCATGCGTGACACTTAATGCTTACTTTTTTAAAAAAGACATTTATTTCCAACTTGATCTTCTTTTATAAAATATGATTTATCTGTGTCAGTTATTCAGAGCTGCAGGTGCAGCCTTCAAAGGGCACAAAGCACACTTTTGCATTTCCTTCACTAGCCGTGACTTTGGTTAGCATCCTGTACAATGGTTTTGTATTTTTTCCTGTGGAAACTCTCAGACCCAAACAAATTCTACTTCAGTCTTATGTAGCAATCAAAAAGATGCCTTCTGCCTAATAAGTTTTGCAAGCACATTGGAAACTGCAGCAGCCACGCTTGATTAAACTTTGCTTTCTTTCACTTTTAAAGGAACTGCTGGTGATGTAGTCATTCACCCATGAATGCCTTGCTTTTTCAATAGTTACTAGGACACTAGAAAAAAGAAATTTCCATTCCTCTCAATAAAAACTAGAGAAAAAAGAACTACTTTTCTTTTTTCTTTATTTTTGCTCAGAATAGTCACTATTTTTGCTAAAGAAAGAACACTTATTTAATCCAGTAATATATCTACATAGAGGGGAAGGAGGCCGTTAATTTTTTCTGGTTTGATTGTAAATGTGGGGATTTTATTTGTAAGACTTGAGTAAGTTTTATACTATAATAAATGTGTTCTGCTATAAAAGCCATTGTTAGAAATGTGGTTAGAGATTTTCTTTTGTGATTTGGAGCTTAAGGTAATGGATCAGAATTGGAGATTTATCACACAAGCATCCCTACCTCTGCACTTCCTAAAATATATCCTAATTATTATGGTCAGGTAGTCTGCTCCTATGTTATGTACAATCCATGCAATCTCCTAAATTCTAAATTGAATTAAAAAATTTTGCCATTCTGAAAACAAATTGTGGTATATTGACTATAGGCCAAATTAATCTCTACATTGATTTTTTTGAGACTCATTTTACACTAATATATCAGGGTGAGTCTTAGCAAGAGGTGATATGCCCACTCGGGTGGGTGAGGGTGAAGGATTGAGCAATTTGAAAGGGAGAATGCTGAGACCAGGGTACAATTAATGAACAAAAGATCTAAGCCAGCTCTCTCAATCACCTTAATGTTGTTTGCTTGACGAGGAACACTGCTAGCCAGGAAATGTTAGTTACCTCCCTGTAAAGAAACTCAGCAGATTTTTTCTAATACTGAAGGAACAAATTGAGAGATGAAGCAATGCACCGCCTGATCTCGAAGGAGAACAGATCAGCGTGAAGCCCCTGGGGAATTAAGACTGACAAGTGTTCAGTGGTTCTTACATTCATTGGCACAGGCTGAATTTATCAGTACATTCTGAACCAGTGAACTTATCTGTGAGTGAATTGTCTTTGTCCAGTTCCCAGCTGGAAGCCTCCAAGAGCTTAGTTTCCAGGGTATATATATATATATATATATATATATATATATATATATATATATATATATATATATTTATTTTTTTTTTTTTTCTTTTCCTCTCCCTGCAGAGAACCAGGTTGAAGAGGGACAGGAGAGCCTAGCATGTAGTCTAGGAGAAAGAAGTGAGTGCTTTCTTATTAATATTACCATTTTAAACAAATACTTTCTAAAGTAATGAACTTGGTAGAGGATATTCTGGGAGGTAATGTGAAAGAGAAGGGAGGAGCTAAGCAGGTTGGGGAGGGGGCCATAGAGGTCAGTGATTTGACTGGTGCACACAGACACACTCTTAAGCATTGTTAAGAAATAGTGACTACCCTTACAGGGAGGTGGAACCAACAAGTGAAAGACAACCAGTTGTCCTAACACAGGAAACTTGACCTGATATTCTCATAGCTACCTGGTGGCAGTGTGATCAGTACATCAACAAAGTGCAAAGATGCAAGCTTCCTGAAAGCAGGGATTTTTGTCACATTCATATTTGTATCCCTAGCATTTAGCATATACCCTTGAATGTCATAAACATCTACATAATGTTTGTTGAATTATATAGCTTATAATCTCCAAATGCAAATCAAATTTTAAACCAACAAATCCCCCCAAATTCTTTATTCCTCTACTATGTGAACCCCATTCTTGGGCCAGAGTAGGATTCTCATGCCGCATAAATGTGAGACAGAGATGGGACTAGAAATAGACAAGGGAGATAATTTGCCCAAAAGAAACATGTAGGGTGGTATACTAAGAGACCCTTGTTATAATAACACTTTTCAAATGAATGCACATACTTTCACCAGTATTGAATGAGTAGAAAGTATGTTATTTTCAAGCCTTAGTAGGGTACGTTAATTCCTTGTCCCTGTTCTATTCATGCCACTCCCCATGAAGTACATGCCTGCAATGTCCTCTCCCCTCCTATGCAGCCATTTATTAACAAAAATTCATAAGTTCTCACTCCAGTAGCAGTCTAATAATGTTTTGTGTGGCACAGGGGGATAGTCCAATAACAGTGACCACATCCCACACATCCCAATGATAAGAAAAGTGTGTTAGAATTTAAAAGACTTTAAAGACCATCTAATATAATGCCCCTCATTTTGTGGATGAGGAGTATGAATCAATTGAGAAGTGAGTTAGTTGTTTCAGGTCACATAGTTAATTTGAATAAAATCTGGAACTTGAAGAAATCACTTGATTCTTGGTGCAATACTGTTTTCATTACACAAGGCTGCTTCCTTTCATGAGCAATACCCCAAAATCAGTGAAAAACCTATGAAAAAGTCAGAGAACCCAGGAAGAAAAAAAGAGAGAGATTAATAGAAAGAGACTTCATATAGAAAGAGAATGTTTGAATAAGGGTTCAGGCTTTCTACTCAAACCCCATTCACTTTGTGGATTTGTGGGAATGGGAATGTGGGGTGGGAAATGACAGCAGGAGAAGAGATTTGATGTTTCAGAACCTTCTGCTTTTCTTTGTGCACACATTGTTTGCCTGAGCCTGGCATTTCTAATTACCTGCTCGTTCTAATCTAGACCCTGCAGGATGGGTCTCCTGGCTCCACAGGAAACAATAACGAGAACCCAACAGAAACAAAACTAGTCCCAAGGCAGAAAAGCAACTTTAGTTAGTTACTCAGTGGGGCCTCATGTCTCTTCTACTCCTTTTCTCTCATCATGTTAATTCCTGACTGTTACTCTTGCTCTCAGGTTGTATTTGTCTGGTCCCTGTGTGTCTGTATGACTTCTGACTCACTGCTTTGATCAAACAACGATATACGCAAAGTGCTTTCAAATCTTAAAGAGAGATACAGCTAGAATAGCTGTTATGATTATGCTTGCCCTGACTGGTTTGCTGAATATCCCTAGATACCATCTTGTCTGCATAGTTCAGACTCATGGACTTTTTTTAATCTTGAGTACCTGGGAATAGTGTCTCTTTGGATTATTTACCTTGTTCCTTGATGCCAGTCTGTGACTTGATCACTGCCTGGTTGCCTTGTTCATTGTCTCAAACTTTCCTTTGGCCTGCCTAGTATCAGCTTTTTCATGGTGTGTCCACCACCGTTTGTTCCTGATGGTCCCAAACAGGGACACTGCTGATTTTTTTCTAATGTTGTTTTAGAAAGAATTAGTCAGAAAATGAAAGATTTTTTTTTCATTCATTTCATATATTTTCCTGAATATAGACTTCTGACACACCTGACCAGATTGTAGTATCTTATAGGAACCTCAGAGGCCATGGAATCAAACCTCTGTAGATCTGGATATACCAAGATAGGGGCTGAGGTGAACCCTTAGTCCAAGAAGTTAGGCAAGGTTCCATAGATACCAAATTAGCTCCACGGGATGTAGGGTAGCAGAAGTACCATTGGGTGATTATAAAAAAGTAGAGAACTAATTAGGTAATGTAAAGTGGTAGGGAAAGATCTTGATGGAATAGTAAAGAATAATCTTTGGGTTTTGCATCTAACCAGTTCTGAATTGCATTGTTGTTTAACCCATGTACTTGATCTTCTCCATAAGAATAGCATAAAGTACTTTATGAGAAGCTTTCCTAAAATCAAGGTTAGTTATAGCTATAACATTTTCCTCACCTACCAGTTTAATAGCCCTGTGAGAGAAGGGAATAAGACTATAGTCTGACATAATTATCCTTGATGTAGCCATGCTATTTTTTCTTGTAATCATTTCCCTTTATAGAAGTTCATCACCCATCACTTTATTGAAATATTCTAAAAATTCCGCAGTAAACAAACAGAAGCTCAGTGGCCTATTGTCTGCAGACTCTGTTCTCTACCCTTTAATGAAAATGAGGACATTTGCCCTTCTCCAACCTTGTGCTACCTCTCCCATTTTTCCACAGTCTTTCAAGTATTTACTGACAGTGGCTCTGCCATCATACCTGCCAACCTATGATGGTAAATAATCAAATGTACCTGTATGTAGACTGGGCTAAAGTCAGGCCTGTCAGTTCTGTAGGACCTGTTGGACAGTGAAAAGCTTTGCTGGAAGTATTTGGGCTTGTTAGTTGTGATTC